AGCTCGCTTGCCTCACAAGAGGACCCGGGTTCGATTCCCCCGGGCAGGATGAAAATTTCCTGACTCCACACGTTTACCTGGCAGTAAGTAGGAACGCGGTTGTTAGTCGATTAGCGGATCCCTTTTCTGGGGGCAATAATCCCATAAACGTCAACAATTCAATGAGGTCACTCAATCCACGACTGTTAATAATTCCTTCAAAAAAATGATAATAACAAACAAATTGGCCACCCATTCCACTTGTGGGCATTTCGTCCACAAAATATGCAGTCAATTCATTTTACAGTATATTCTGTGAAGCGTTTTGAGACAGCTCGAAGACATGATCAAATGCAAGGATTATTATTATTATCAGTCCTTGCCGGTGTTTATACTCCACACAAGCCCCCACCTCTCCTACTCCCTTGATTCACTTTTACTAATAACAATCCATGCATTTGATATAGCGTCTTATCACGTCTTCGAGAGTCTCAATAGCGCTTCACAGAATATATTGTAAAGTGAGTTGACTGTATTTTGTGGGCGAAATTTTCTCCAAGTTTCTCTTGCAAACAACGATGTGCTGTCTGCTTCAACACAGTTTACAGCAGCGAATTCCACGTTCTCACTAGCCCCTGACGTTCCTCCTATTAGATGTGCTATTAGATTTATTAGATTGCAGTTGACAGAGAACAAGGCTCCCTCTAGCTTTCCTGCCTCAGGCAGTTTATTCCATGTCGAGTTCACTCAAGCTACTGAGTCAGATACTGTGCGTTCACAAAACACACGTGGGACTTTGGAATCACACAGTCCAGGTTGACTCTCCAGTGCTTTGCTGAGGACCACAGAGTCTAACTAACTAAAACTGTGTGGCTCGCAATTGTCTGACTAGTTTCCCATTGATTGTCCACCCGGGTGCCAGTAGTTGGGAAGCTTATCAGTGGCACCACTTCCAGCCACTATGTATTGAAGCTTTGGAACTCTTTCCCTCAATCTCTCCGCCTCGCCCCCCTACTTATAAATGACATATAACATCAAAATGTCTCTAAGCAATTAACGTCAAGTACAGTGATTTCTTATAGCTAAGAAAATGTACAAGCAAGGTCCCAATAACAGGCACGTTTTGAATGATCCACAGGATTTTTAACGGGCACCTGAATAGGCAAACAGCAACGACTGCGGTGTTTGTAATAATGCTTGCTTTTGATTATAGCTCCTTACCAAATCTTCGAGACATCTCAAAGCGCTTCACAGGAAACACTGGATAGTGTCGCGACTGCATATTTTGTGGGTGAAACGCGGCAGCCAATTGCGCGCAGCGGTGTCCCACAAACAGTCAGTGGATTGAGTGACCAATTTGTTGTTGTTAGAAATTTTTTGAAGGAATTATTAACACCGGAAAAGCGATCCGTGAATCGACTAAGATTCTCCTGAGAGTGATCAGAATCTGGAATGCTTTGCACCACAATGTTCTCAGACTGTTCCTAATTTCCTGTGGTCCTGTGTTTGATAAAGAGACGGACACCATGACACATTAAGAGATATGAAGAGAGAGAGAGAGAGAGAGAGAGAGAGAGCAGGGAAAATTAATCAGATCTGCCGTCATCACATGAAATAGCAGAAGAGGTTTGATGCACTGCCGCTGTTACCATTATCCTGTACTAGAATGGGATGTGACTGGGAAAAGACCATGGAGGGATTAAACCGAGTGTGGAGTCCTGTAGCTCAGTGGTTAGTGTATTTGCCTCACAAGCGAAAGGACCCGGGTTCGATTCCCGGGCAGGGCGAAACATTCGGCAAGTTTCCTTACTCCACTCCTCTGTTTACTTAGCAGTAAATAGGAACCCGGATGTTAGTCGATTGGCGTGTCACATTTCCGGGTTCAACAAATCCCTTCCAAAAAAAACAGGAAATTAAAAATATATAATAAATTGGTCATTCAATCCACAACTGCAACTGTTTGTGGGACACTGCAATTGTTTTGAGCGAGTTCCACGATCTCACTACCCTCCAGGTGAAGCAGTTTCTGTAAAATTCTCTTTTAGATCCAGGTTACAGTGACTGTCCATAGGTCTTGCAGACTGATTGCCTCCGACTCTCAGTTGTTGCTCCTTTAATGACCGTGAACTCTTCTCTCAGTACAGTGATCATGAGCAACATCCTTTTCCTGAGCACAAAAGTACTGCAAGGAAACCAGGAGCTAGTAGCCTCCAGTCATCATTAAATATCAATGTCGGGCTCCAACACTCTGAGTATTTCTCCTGTGCAGCACTTTAAAGTCACTTCAGCTGCACAGTTTGAGCAATTTGTGGCAGCGAGTGAGAAGAACCATCCTTTTACAACAAGATGCCCTACGCAGTTTTTTGGGGGGTTTCACACGGCCACGAAATATCCTCACCCCATGGGCTCATTGCCCTTCAAAGCGTTTTTAAATCCCGCACAAAATTCCAGCAGGTTCTTAAATTCATTTTTTATTTATTATCCAGAGAGACTACAGATTGTTCTGGGATTGTTCTCCTCGGAACAGACGAGATTAAGGAGTCAATTCAATAATTTAAGATAATTGGCAAAAGAACCAGAGGAAAGACGAGGAGATTTTCTTTTCACGCAGCGAGATCTGGAATGACTGCCAGAAAGGATGGTGGTGGCAGATTCAATGATAACTTTCAAAAGGGATTTGGATAAGTACTTGAAAAGCAAAAAAAATTGGGGTAAGAGCGAATGGGATTCATTGGTAGCTCTTTCAAAAAGCCGAACCAGAGTCCTGAAATTCTCACATTCTTAGCTTCAAGACCATTGTGGCGTCCTGTAGCTCAGTGGTTAGAGTGCTCGCCTCGCAAGCGAGGGACCTGGGTTCGATTCCCGGCAGGGCCAAACCTTGGGCGAGTTTCCTTACTCCACACGCCTGATAATAATCCCTCGAAGAAAAAAGAACAGTAATAAATTGGTCAGTGTAGCGCTTTTCTCGTCTTCTAGACGTCTCAAAGAGCTTCGCAGAATACCCTGTAAATTAAATTGGCTGTGTATTTGTGGGCGAAACGCGGCAGCCAATTGCGCACAGCAGCGTCCCACAAACAGTCGTGGATTGAAGTGACAAATTTATTATTGTTTTCTTTCTTGAGGGATTATTATCAGGCGTGCGGAGTAAGGAAACTTGCCCAAGGTTTCACCCTGCCCGGGAATCGAGCCCAGGTCTCTCGCTTGCGAGGCGAGTGCTCGAAGCTACATGACTCCATTCCATTATTATTATAATTTCAGAAAGCAGTCTTGAATCGGGAAAGCCGGTGGGGGGAGGCGGAGGGGGAGGGGAAGTTGAGGTAAGCGAGACCATTCAGGACTCAATGGCGTAACTGTGCAGATGTCTGTCTGTGTCACTTTGCAGTGTGGACGAGATGACCCTCATTATGGTTCAGCCGCACCTCAAACAATCTCCATTCACTTAGCAATGAAAGGTTTCTTACAGGGATCAAGTCTTTTAGCAAAAGCATACACAAACACAGACAGGCACACACACACACCGACACAACACACAGCCATATCCAGTGTGCTGTGCATTCACTAAACAGAAGTGAAAAGAATTCAGGCATCAAACCCAACCACAATACACAATCTTGAAAGTTTCAGGTTAAAAGACCTGACAATTAAACTGGGGTTGAGATTCCTAGATTTACTTCATGTACTTAGCATTTCAGAACATCCAGAATTTGGCAAATTCTTAAACACGGTCTTAATTTTCTGTTTTATAAGCCTGCAAGGAGGCTCTCAAATAAAGAAATAAATAATAATAATCTTCGCATTTGATACGGCGCCATGTCAGGTCATCTCAAAGTGTTTCACTGTGTGAATGTTTTACTGTAAAGTTGATTGACTGTGTATTTTGTGGGTGAAACGCGACAGCCAATTGCACACAGCTATGTCCCACAAACAGCCATGGAGCAATTGGACCAATTTTACCTGAGGGATTGTTGGCCAGGACACCGGGAGAAACTACCTTCGCTTTTCCAACAGTGCCATGGAATCTTTAACATCCATCTGAACAGCAGATTATGGTTTAACATCTCATCCGAAGGATGGCACGTCTGAAAATGCAATGCCCACCCAGCACTGCATTGGAGTGTCAGCTTAGACGATGTGATTCCAAGCAGAGCTGTGCTGCAGTTTCAGCCGAGACTGTGAGCTCAATCTAAATGGGGTTTGAACCCACAACCTACTGACTCAGAGGAGAAGGTGCTACCAACTAAACCAGTCTGATGAAAGTTACTCAATCCCCAATCCCTCCTCCTCCTCCTCACAAAATCACAGCATCAAACGAGAGGTTCAGATGAAGAAGACCTCGTTGGTTCCATTTTGATCTCATTCTTCCAGAATCCGCATTAAAAACCTCCTCCTATTACAGCATTTGAACTGCTTCTTAAATGAATCCCAGAGTCCTGCCTTCCGTCAACCACCCTTCCAGCCATTAGTTACCGTCTGGGTAAAGAAATACTTCCTATTGCTGCCTCCGCTCAGCTGCCCGCCAGCTGGCCTCCTGCTTGTCCCTCATTCCTCCCCACCACTCAACCATCTGTGGCCCCGCTTTCAGCCACTATGAACCGAAGCATTGGAACTCTTCCCCCAACCCCTCCGCCTCGCCCCCCCACTCCTTCCCCTTTTAGATCACGACTGAACTCCTTCTTCTTCGACCGTGCTTACGGTCACCTCCTCCCTTACCCTGGCTCAACATCTGGCTCCGCCACTGTGAAGCCATCCAACAAGCTGCCTCGGGTGAAAGGCGTTATATAAATGCAACTCACGTGACTTACGTGTAGTGTCTGTTCTGAATTTGCCCCTTTGGAACCCTGCAACTTTGCCCATTGAGTGATTCAGCTGTTTGTTTGTTCCGTGCATTACAGACTCAGTCAAATTCAGATCTCTTTAAGTTCCCCTCTGGATAAACTCTCTCCTGAGATCCAGACTGAATTGGAGGTCAAGCACTTCATCATGGGTGACGAGGCTTACGCCGGGAGAGTCTGTGCACTTACCCGGGAGTTGACCACCTCCAGAGAGACATTCTGCGGAGCTCCACTTGGCACTGAAAATACAAGAGAAACAAAGGTCATGAGTTGTCTGCACTGGGTCTGCGACTCCCCTTATGTCCTCACGTCTCAAACGACTCTCAGTTTCAACCCTTTAATTTCCCCTCTGTGTAAAGAAATACTTCTTGTTTTCTATCCTGAAATTGCCCTTTGCATCTCTGACCCTGTGACCTCTTGTCTCCCTGCCTCAGTGTATCTGAAAGTTAATCGCATCAACTGTTTAGCAAACCTCAGTTCCTTAACTAGTCCTTAGAGGACAAGTGTTGTGTGTTCTGTAGGCAAACATGGCAGCCAACTTGCAAACAGCCATAGCGCAAATTGTTGATCTGGACAGTGTGTTAACCGTAAAGGCCGAGCCTTAGGACCTCCTCCTGATGCGAAAGGCAAAGGTAATTTTGTATTGCCATTTTTGTATTGATTATTGTGCAGGACACCGGAAGAAACTCCCTTCTGTTTTTTCCGTAGTGCTGAGCATCCACCTGGATAGGTAGTCAGGACTTGGTTTAACATTACTCCGCCAATGGAGAACTCCCCTCACACTGGGCTGGACTGTCAGCCTCGATTAATTATAATAAATAAATAATAATCCTTGCGTTTGATATAGCTCTAACCACTGAGCTACTCCCACTTTAAGATCGTGAGCGTAAAGTTCCGAGAGATGAGACTTGACCCAGAGGAACCACGTGAGCAACTGTGTCAAGCTGGCAGAGCAAGTGCCTGCTGGAACGTGGGTGGAGCGAGACAGCGACTGCACAGAGTGAAAGAGAGAGTCTGCAGTGAGCCCGAGCGCAGATGGTGAAGTTAGGAAATCATCAATAAATTAATGGGCTGAGAGCAGAACGCTGAGTGCGGCAGGAATGAACATTGGTTGGCGGGGAGCAGGAGTGGAAAGTTCACGTCAGCAAGATGATGTCTCGGCAGGCAAAGAGGGATAAGATTCGAAGTACAACAACAACAACAACAAGATTCCATTTATAAAGCGCCTTTTACGTCAGGAGGACGTCCCAAGGCGCTGCACAGTTGGGTCATGACCCGAGCATTGGGGGGAAATGGTCAGGGTGAGGGGAGGGAAGGGAGGGAGCGAGGAGGGGGAAATGGTCAGGGTGAGGGGAGGGAAGGGAGGGAGCGAGGAGGGGGGAAATGGTCAGGGTGAGGGGAGGGAAGGGAGGGAGCGAGGAGGGGGAAGAGAGTTGAGAGGGGAGCTGAAGGCACGGTCAAAGAGAAAGGTTTTGAGACCGGCCTTGAAGGAGGAAAGGGAGGAGGCGGCGAAGGCACTGGGGGATGGAGTTCCAGAGCCTCGGGGCTGAGAGGCTGAAGGCCCGACCACCGATGGTAGGGTGGTTGGGGCGGGGGACGTGGAGCAGACCAGAGTAAATATAAACTCAGGGGTTTCAGCGCGAGGGAACTTTTATACATTGGGCGAGAATTCGTGTGAGAGCTCGTAAATGAGAGAGAGAGAGACACAGAGAGAGAGAGAGAGTATGAGAGAGCGAGTGTGTTAGAAAACGAGCACATCCGTGTGGCAGCACATGTGAGAGAAAGCACATGAAAGGTCGCGTGAATGTCTCTGACAGTGTGCGCTCGCGTACTAGAGTGTACCTGAGAGCGTGAGAGCAAGTGAGCGTCCACGAGCAAGGACCTGCGTGAAAGAATACGTACGAGCCCTGTGAAAGCGTTTCAGAGTGTGTCAGAGCGTGCGTGAGTGCACGCAAGTATGTGAGCGTGCGTGGGCGTGTGTGAGAGCGCGCGTGTGTGAGCGCGTGTATATGTATGAAAGCGCGGGTGTATGAGAGGATGTGTGGTGTGCGACGGTATATTGTGTGCGAGCATCTGTTGCGCAACCGTGTATTTGGGTGTGCGTGCATGTGTTGAGCGAGCATGTTTTTGTGTGCACGCGTGTGTCTATGTAAGCATCCATGTGCTCGGAGCGAGGGGATTTGCAGGAATGTGACAATAAATAATACTTGCTTTTGATACAGAGCCTTGTCACGTTTTCAAGGCGACCCAAAGCACTTCACACAATGCACCGTAAAGTGAATTGACTGCGTATTTTATGATGTGGAATTATCGCAGGAACAAACCGGGGAGAAAGAAGGCAGGACAGACACTGAGCCACCTTCGTGGGGCTTTGAACGGCACGAGATTCGATTGAATTTGCGCACAGCAATGCCTCACAAACAGCCATGAGCAGAACAAGCTAGATATCAGAAGGACAGAAGAGGAGAGAGAGAGAGAGAGAAGTGGACAGGCGCGTGTGTGTTGGGTGGGGGAGGAAAAAAGAGGGGGAATAATTATAACAGGAGCAAAAAAAAATTGCAAGCACAACATGGTTTTGGGGTTGCCCGATGTCTGACTGATACGAGGAGACATTAATGTATGGACGGGAGCAAAGCCACAATCAGATTACACAGGCTTGAGCAGTCCTCCAAGGCTCTTGACGGATGGAGCTGAATTAAATGGAGTGAGAGGAACATTGATCACCGAGGTAGGAAGGCAGACTGCAGTTCACTGAGCGCTCAGCAGGAAGTCTGTGTATATATATTTGATTTTGTCTTTATAAATTATTAGCTGCTAAAACCTCGCCTTCACCTTCTCAGCTAACCCACGCTGAGCAGCTCGAGTTTCCTTTCCTGTCCTTCCCCTCCTCCATCTCCTCCGAATTTCATTTCCCACATGATTGCCTCCACCTCTCTCCCCGTTCCCCCCTAACCTCATCCCCAGCCCACACTACTTCCATCTGACCATTGGTGGCTAAGCCTTCAAGCCCACATGCACCTGTTCTCTGGAACTCTCTCCCCAAATCCCAGCTTCTTGCCCTTATGGGACCAGAGAGACACATACAGCACAAAAGGATGCCATTCGGCCCATCGAGTCTGTGCCGGCCCTCAGAAATAGCTCTTTCTTTAGTCCCATTATCTCGACTCTCCCTCCCCCAATCTCTCTCTCTCTCTCTCTTTCACACACACACTTTTTCTACTGATCTATTCATCTAACGACTCAACATGTTTCACAGGATTTACTATGAAGTGTAGGGCCATCAATTTTGCAGCCAAAAGTGGCAGCTGATTGTGGCCAGCAATGTGCCACAAACAACGAAGAAGTAAATGATTAATTTTACATGGCAGATCGTTGGCCAGAGAACTTCTCTTCACTCTTCAAATACCGCCATGAGATCTTTAACATTCCATTTGAGCAGGCACACGAGACCGCCAAAGGATGGCGTCTGTGACCATACATCAGTGTTATCTTAAACTGGAGCCTGAACTGCTTTAAAAGCGAAATGAAGAAACATTTCTTCCCACTGTGAGAATGTGACTGGACCGGTCCCTGGAGACTGCAGCGGTAAAATAAATCGAAACGTTTCAAAGGCAGATGGATAGACACAGGAACCTCAGTATAACTCCATCATCTGTGTCCAAAAAGCTCTGAATCCGTGTAGAAAGAAAGCAAAGTGAGATAAAATGGCCGGCTTCTGATTTCAGGGTGCTGAGTATGCCAATTTTGTGGAGTCCTGTAGCTCAGTGGTTAGAGTACTCGCCTCAAAATAAATAAATATGTAATAATATGCAATAATAATAATAATTGGGTCACTCAATCCACGACTGTTTGTGGGACATTGCTGTGTGCATTTGGCTGCTGTGTTTCGCCCACAAAATACACAGTCACTACAGGGTATTCTGTGAAGCGCTTTGAGACGTCTCGAAGACGCAGTAAGGCGCTATAGCAACAACAACAACTTGCATTTATATAGCGCCCTCCATCCAGGGCAGCGTCTCGGAGCGCTTTACAGTGGCGGAGCCTGACTCCGAGCCAGCAGGAGGGGTGAGGTGGCCGTAAGCCCAGTCGAATGGGAAAGTTGAAAGAGGGGAGAGAGGGGGCAAGGCGGAGGGATTGAGGGAGAGTGTTCCAGAATTTTGGGGCGACCTCCGATGGTGGGACCGAGGGTACGAGGGATGAGCAGGAGGCCGGGTGGTGGATTGGGGATGCAAGGATATCAAATGCAAGGACTATTATGATTATTATTATTATTATTATTATAACAGACTCTGTATTTTTGAAACAAGGGGTTGCGGGGATGTGGAGAAAAGACAGGGAAAGGAATTAAAACTATAAAGAAGAGCTAGTGATGGTGGAACAGGCTTGAAGACCTGAATGGCCTCCTCCTGCCCTCAGCTTTCCTGGCTTCCTTTACAGTCTGACTGCGGAGCGGCAATGATTGCAGGTGGCTAAATTGTTCCGAGCCTGTCTGGTTCGCAGAGGTCAGAATGGATATAAATCAATAGGAATTCAGAAATTCCAGAGCAGGTTTCTTCAGACTTAAAACCTTCTCCGATTCAGTGATTCTCCAAACTCCAGGCTCCGAAATTCGTTGCAGTGCTCGCTGGCTGACTGCTCACTTCACTGCCCAGATTGCGCCAGTCAAAACACCTAAATGTCAAGCCGGCAAGTAAGTAAGTTGTGCTTTGCTGAGAGAGAAATAGAGAGAGAGAGACAGAGAGAGAGAGAGAGAGAGAGAGAGAACCGTTCAGACACTGGGGATTCACGGAACAGTGCTTCTGTCCAGTTGAGACATTAAACTGAGGTCCCGTCTATGGCTCGTCGGGTGGACATTGAATATTCCTCCTCAAAAAAAGAGAAGCGAGGTTCTCCCCAGTGTCCTGGCTGACAGATAACTTTGATCATTCACTCTGTGGCTATTTGTGAGGACATTGCTGTTCGTGGAGAAAATTGGCTGCGTTCCCCTTACAAAATACATAGAAATAGGAGGAGGCCATTCAGCCCCTCGAGCCTATTCCGCCATTTTACAAGATACAGCTGATCTATACCTCAAGTCCAGTTACTTGCCCTTGCCCTATATCCCTAAGTCCTCTGACCTAACAAATATATATCTATGTCCGTCTTGAAGATGTGAATGGATCCAGCATCCACAGCCCTTTTGGGGGGAAAGAGTTCCAGATTTCCACTGCCCTTTGGGTCAAAAACTGCTTCCTGATTTCACTCCTAAATAATTTTAAGATTATGCTCCCTTGTTCTGGATTCCCCTACCAGAGGAATACACAGATACTACACTGTATAATGGGAGAGGGGGGGGTGGGGAGAGGGAGAGCGGAATGGAAAGGGAGAATAGAGGATTTATAAATAAGGAGGGATGCAAGACCACAAAAGATTTTGAAGTTCAGGAAAAACTCTCGACGGATATCCAAAGTGGTCCTGGAAATAAGTGGAGGCCTGGCAGGGATGTGAGTTGTGGGTGGCTGTGGAGCTTTGGGTCAGGGAGTAACCTGTGGAGGGTGCAACCATGTATCAGAGCTTCGTCCGTGGACAGGAACTGAGTCGCTTACCGTCGGACAATGTGCTGACCAGCACATCCTCGGTAGACACCCCAGCACCATGTCTATTGAAAGCCAACACCCGCAGGCTGTAGTCTGTGAACTTCCTGAGCCCCTCCAGTCTGTACGACAAGCCGTCCACCTCAACACTCTGAAACAGGAGGTGACCACACAACAAAGGATCAATTATGCGATATTTCTTAATTATGAAACTCCAAATTTCGATATAACCACACTCTCCTGAACAGATAAAGCAATCGAACAGGGAATGGGGTCAGAGTGGAGAGCTCCAATGGGGGAGCGAGCACCAGCATAGACATGATGGGGAGAGACAGCAGTTTGGTAAGTTACTGCTAGGGAAACCGAGGCATATGGAGTAAGGAAACTTTCCTAAGGTTTCGCCCCAGTTGAGAATCGAACCCGGATCCTCTTGATTGCGAGGCGAGTTCTCTAACCACTACGCTACAGGACTCCAAAACCCCCCCCCCGCCCGAGTGGAGGAAGGTCACGCATCCCAGTTCGACAACCACCCACCTGCTCATTGCGGTTGGTAATCTCCATCCAAAAGAACCTGTAGCCTTGGATTGGACCATTTGCATACGCTGGGGGTTCCCAAGAGGCCATGATGGAGCTGGAGGAGGTGGAGGAAACTCTAAGGTTTTCTGGTGATCCAGGAACTTGTACTAGAAGTGAAAGGCAACTTAGTCAGCGAGAGAGGGAACGAGAGACAGAGAGGGAGAGAGAGAGAGAGAGAATGTGGGAGAGGGAAAGAGAGACAGCGAGGGGTGGGGGGGGTGAGAGCAAGAATGAGGGAGAGGGCAAGTGAAACAAAGAGAAGGGGATAGAGAAGGAAAGGGAGACATAGAAGGGGATGAACTAGAGACACAGAGTTGGAGAGGGAACGAGAGAGATAGAGATTGAGAGAACGTGGGAGAGAGATAGAGAGAGAGAACAAGAGAGGGAAAATGGAAAAGAGAGAAGAGGAAAAAAGAAACGGAACGAGATAGGGAAAGAGAAAGAGAGAGAGGAAAAGACAGAGAGATGGGCAAAGAGAGTGGAGGGGTGAGAAAGAGATGGAAAGAGAGAAAGGAAGGGATAAAAAGAGAGCGACAGATAATTACACTCGAGACATCGGATCATCTTAGAGTACCATATGTTAAGAGCGTAGTCTCACACACACAAGCACACGGGCGCACACACAGAATAAAATAAACCAAATTCAAAATCATCAAGTCGGCGAATAATTCAAAGCACTGCAACAAGAGACAGATTACCAGTCAGAAACACTGACATGTTTTGTGTGAGATTATTGTGTTTGACAGTCTCTCTTAGTGTTAATAATCCTTGCGTTTGATATAGCATCGTCAGGATGTCTCAAAGCCTCTGCCCAGGATTTTACTGTGAATCGTAGCGGCTGTGTGTTTTGTGCAGCCGTGAAGCGAATGATCAATTTTATCTGGAGGATTGTTGCCCAGGACACCAGGAGAAAACTTCCTTCTGTTTTTCCAATAGTGCGGTGGGCGTGTTTAACGTCCACCTGAACAGGTACAGACGGGACTCAGTTTGAGGTCTCATCTGAAGGGGAGGACCAGAGCAGCACACACACCCCACCCCACCATTCTCCCCACCCCCCACCCACACAGCACTGGAGCGACAGCCTAAACTGCGAGAACACTGGAAAGGGTGATTCGTGCATCAGCGTGTTCGTTCGACGAGCTTGGCGTATTTAATCCCAAACTGGGGACGGGGAACCTTCTCACTCGGCTCCTGATAACACTGCAATCCAAAGCCCTAACAGGTAGGGTGGTCCTAACTGGACAAGCAGCGGAGAAGCTTGCCAGGCAACGGCAAGGTATGTGGTTGCAGTTGGTTAGATTCCAGCAGTTCCCCCAATGAATACTCCGAGTGGTGATTGAGCCCACAATCTTTCCAGAATTAGATAAGTTTGATGCATCCCTCCAGGGAGCAACGGTGCCATCCGTTCCAGAGACAGTAATTTCCATGTGTAGGTGGGATGCATAAAATTCTCAGTCTGATTTGGATACTCTTTAAGCACGGTGATGGGTTTCCGTACGTGTTACAGACACTCGGTCGACCAAAAAGAAACCTAACGGATGTGCAAATCAATTGCTTCTCGTTTCCGGCACAAAATACACAGTCAATTTCACTTCACAGTATAGTCTGTGAGGCGCCTTGAGATGTCCCAAAGACGTTATAAGGCAAATGCAAATCACATGCAAGGATTATTATTATTATCTCATCTGCCTAATAATACACGCTATCAATCGATATAATTAAGAATGCAGATTATTATTGTTGTTCTGTATGGGGCGTTTCAACTCTGATCAAATATATTTTGTGAAGCTTTCCGAGGTATTTGTTTTCACGTGAAACTTCCTGGATAAATGCCAGTTATTTAATTATTACTTTTTATTAAAATTAATCATTTGTTATTATCGTAAGTAGGCCACACAGATCCTTAACTGTATTGATGCCAGGTATTACATTCCACCCGTTCTCAGCCTCTAAAACCATCTTAAACTCTGTCATAATAATAATCCGTGCATTTGATATAGTGCCTTATCATGATGTTAAGACGACTTAAAGCGCTTCACAGAATATACTGTAAAGTGGATTGACTGTGAATTTTGTGGGAGAAACATGGCCTCTATTTATCCAGTCACTATAGTAAGAATTTGCATGTCTTTTGATGCAAAAACACAGAAAGTGGCTCTTCACTCAAACCCAGGGAGCCAGGCTACAAAACAACAACAACTTGCATTTATATAGAGCCTCTCATGCTGGGCAGCATCTTGGAGCGCTGATAGTGGTGGAGCCTGACACCAAGTTGGGGGGAAGGGTTGCCATAAGCACGGTCGAAGAGGAAGGTCTTCAGTCGTGACTAAAAGAGGGGAAGGAGTAGGCAAGGCTGAGGGATTGGGGGAGAGTTCCAAAGCTTAATGGTTGAAAGCATGGCCGCCAATGATGGAACAGGGAGGATGAGAGACAAGCAGGAGGCTGGAGCCAGCCGAGCGGAGGCAGCGGGTATCAGAGTAGGGAGAAAGCAGGTCAGGAAAGTAGGGAATGGCCAGAGAGTAAAGGGATTTGTGGACGGGTGAGAGGACCTTGAAATCGGTCTGTTCTGTGATAGGGAGTCAGTGGAGCCTAGCGAGGACTGGAGAGATGGGGGTACGTAATAATAATAATAATAATAAATCCTTGCATTTGATATAGCGCTTTTCACGTCTTCTCGACGTCTCAAAGCGCTTCACAGAATATGCTGTAAAATGAATTGACTGTATATTTGTGGGCGAAATGTGGCAGCCAATTCGGACAGCAATGTCCCACAAACAGTCGTGCATTGAAAATGACCAATTTATTATTATTTGTTTTTTTGGAGGGATTATTATTAGGCTCTGTGTGGAGTAAGGAAACTTGCCCAAGGTTTCGCCCTCTGCCTGGAATTGAACCCAGATGTCTCGCTTGCAAGGCGAGTGCTCTAACCACTGAGCTACAGGACTCCACAATATGGTTCAATGTGGGTGAGTATGCCCACCTACACCTTACAGTAAAATCCTATGAAGCATTTTGAGACCCACAAGCAGTCATGCATTGAGTGACCAAATTATTATTATTATTATTATTTTGAGGAGGGATTATTACCTACGGAAAAGCGATCCGCCAATCGACTGACACCCGGGTTCCTACTTACTGCTCGGTAACGAGAGGCATGTGGATTAAGGAAACCTGCCCAACATTTTGCCATGACCAGGAATGGAACCCAGGTCCTCTCGCTTATGAGGCGAGCTCGCTAACCACTAAGCTACAGGACTTCACGTACACACAACTTGCTTCTCGTCCTGTATCCGGAGAGATTGAATCCTATGTGCAGGCGAGACAAGCCAGGACATTACAGTTTAATCCCAGGACAATAGCCTTCACTAAAATCTACATTCTTACACTTTGGATGATTAATTTCCAAAGTAGGATCTTGGCATGAGCTTTTAAACTGATTAAAGAGTCTATGAGTGTGCGCGTGTGTCTGTGTGCGTCTCTGTGCACTTTCCCAGATTACCATATAGATCCCCAAGTGCCTGACCCCACCTGTCTCGTATGTGTGCATTGGCGTCAGTTATACAGCATTGGAAGGGATTATAGCCACATACAGAGATTTAGTACTTAGCGATTATAACTGTCCCATAATATTTTAATAGCATTCTTGGAGATAGCACAATGGTTCCTATTCCGATTCAGTGTTAAAACAGGACTCAGAGGCGAGCATTCAATGAACTCAGCCTCTCAAGCCAACTCTACTCAACACGAGCAGACTCAGAGACACATTAATGATAATAATCCTTACATCTGATATTGTGCCTTTCACATCTGCAGGACGTCTCAAAGCGCTTCACACGATTCACAACAACTATAACTGCATAGTTATAGGACGTCCTCCCGACGTGAAAGGTACTCCATAAATGTAATTTTGTTGATGTTGTATATAACATTAATATAATAATAATAATAATAATAATAATAATCCTTGCATTTGATATAGCGCTTTTCACGTCGGGAGGACGTCCCAAAGCGCTTCACAGAATGTACTGTAAAGTGAATTGACTGTATATTTGTGGGCAAACGCGGCAGCCAATTGCGCACAGCAATGTCCTACAAACAGTCGTAGATTGAAAATGACCAATTTTAATTATTATTTTTGGTTTTTGGAGGGATTATTATTAATATTAATTATAATTATAATTAATTATTATTATAGTGCTTTTCACACAGGATACTGTCTCAGAGAACTATACAGATTAATGTAAAGTGACTGTGTATTTTCTGGATGAACGCAGAACCCGTTTTGTACGTATCAACGTCGCACAAACAGCCTCAGAATGAGCGACAATGTAACCAGGCTGACATCTTAACTAGATTAATAACAGGAGGAAAGCTATCATAACAGACTGCAGAGCGTCAGTTCATAGTGATGAGCGAATCTGCTCGAAATGTTTAAACTAATGAAAGGGAAATGAGCAGCGTGATAGCGTACAGCTCCAGGCAGAAGGATTCGAATCAGTGGGACATAATCTTAAAAACTAGCTGGAAAGCGAGATCAGACAACACAAGAGTGAATGAGAAACCTGTTCACTAAGGTCACAGAGGCAGAATCAAATGGTATGTTTATGATGAACTCATCTTCAATTTCCTCACCTACTTCTTTTAATACCCTGCGGTGGAATCTCAGGTCCTGGAGATTTGTTTAGTTTTACTCTCATTATTTTCTCCGTTACCACCAATCGACCAACAACCAGGTTTTCACTTGCTGCTAGGTAAATAGCGGCGCATGGAGTAAGGAAACTTGCCTAAGGTTTTGCCCTGCCCTGGAATAGAACGCAAGGCACCCTCTCACCTGCGAGGCGAATGCTCTAACCAGTACGCTACAGGACTGAGCTGGAGCGATGATCTACTCCTGTGCGACATTGTGGCTGTGGGAGTTTTGGAGGTTGGACGGGGCAGTGAGATGAAGCGATGTCCAGACAGAAGGCCATGTGTACTTACGCTCAGGCTGGGTGGAGACCTTAATGGCCTGCGAGGTCTGGCCTGGCCCCACATCGCTGTAGGCCACAATCCTGAACAAATAGGTCTCTTCGGGCTTCAGGTTCCCCACGGTGAGCTGCAGGTCCCCAGGCTGAGAGGTGTTGAGGGCACGTTCCCTGAGTTGAAATAAAGGCAAAGAACATATCTGTGAGTGAGAGGGGAGAGGGGGTCGGGTGGGGGCAGTAATTATATAATATATAATTATATAATTATATAATTGCATTTATACAGCACTGTTCACACGGGGCAGAGTCTCAGAGTAGTTGACAGTGTCTGAGCCGGTTCTTTTAAAGAGCAATCCCTTTCAGTCCCATTTTCCGGCCCTTTCTGCTTATAGAACCATGGAACCCATAATTTATATGTCTTTATCCGGTCACTAGAGTAAGAATTTGCATGTTTTTTGGTGCGAGAACCCGGGAAGATCAGGGGCAAGCGAGACTGTTCTCTCAAACCTACGGAGCCAGGCTACAAAACAATTATATTTGCATTTACATAGCGTCCTTTAAGCAGAGTAGGGTCTCAGAGCGCCTGCCTGTGGCGGAGCCTGGCGCCGAAATGGGGGAAGGAAGGGAAGAGGTGACCATAAGCACGGTCGAAGAGAAAGGTCTTGAGTCGTGATCTAAAAAAGGGGAAGGAGGGGGTGAGGTGCAGGGATTGGGGGAGAGAGTTCCAAAGCTTCGGGGCGCAGTAGCGCAACACACCGAGAGCAACACACGCAAGACGAGAGCTGTTCGAGTGATCTTTCGAGGCTGACAGCTCTTTGTTAAAATATTCATACCACCGCAACCTTGTGCTGTTAAGTGATCAGCACAGGGCTCTGCTCAGCCCCGGGCTTTAAGAAGCGCCACCGGGATTATTGTAGCCTTTGGGCCATGTTCGAACACAGTTAATTCTTACAGCCATCACCCAACCGCACGGAAACGGCAAAGGATGGGCGGCGTGTGGAGTCACGGGGTGAGACACAGGACTGTGTTAAATGTGGCATCAGGAAACACAAAAATAATAATAATATGATACGGCGCCTTATCACATCATTGAGACGCCTCAAAGCGCTTCACAGTTTATACTGGAAAGTGGAGTGACTGTGTGTTTCGTGGGAGAAACGTGGCAGCCAATCCCACAAACATCAAAGGCGAGCCCTGGAGGACAGGCTGGTACTGGGGGAAGAGGTAGATTTTAAGGGAGATTTAAAGACAGACCCCGGGTGGGGTGGTGGGGGGAGGAACACTGAATGCTAGAGAGAGGCAGCTCGAGAGATTAGCGGTGTAGTAACTGAACAATCGATCACCGATGGTGAGTCGGTGATGGTGGTCACCGAAGGGGAGTGGGATTAGCCGAGTGGAGGGGCGAGCGTGGGGGGAGGGAGGGGAAGGGGGGAAGGAAGGCGACAGATATCTTCTGGAGAGGAGACAAACAGACAACAGAGAAAGAATGAGATATCAGCTAAGGATCAGTAAGTGAGTTGTGACACACTGTCACAGCTCATGATAAGAAAGGTGATAAAGTTTCACAAGTAATTATATTGAATGTCAGGCATTGGGTTAGACTAAGACACAGCTTGCAGTTAGCCAACTCACTGACTCGCTTCCCTCCTCCAGAGGGTGACCGGGAAATGAAGAGTGGCTCCCGCAAGCAGAAGCCTAATAAGAGTGGTCTAAGCTGGACCAACAGTGAGGCGCTTGTTAGCTGGTTAACCTCTAGTTGTTTAACCCAACGCTTTCCCTCCTAAGGCTTGGCTCTCACCAGAACAAGCAACACTCTCCTGGCTTGGAGAAGCAGGGTGCGTCTCGCTCTAACCTCCGTACCCCCATTGCACCAGTCCTCGCCAGGCTCCACTGGCTCCCTATCAGCACAATGGATCTGCTTCCAGATCCTCACACCCATCTTCATGCCCCGCACCTCCCTATAGCTCGCCGACCTGCTTATTCCTTATGCCACCACCCAGCACCCTCGCTCGGCTGACTCTGGCCTCCCGCACGTTCCTCATCCCCTACCCTCCACCATTGGCAGCCGTGCATTCAGCCACTCCGTCCCAAAACTCTGGAAGTCTTATCCTCATTCCCACCGCCTTGCCCTCTCCTCTTCAGGAAGAGCGTGCACATTCCATTCTAGACCCAGAGAAATGCGTAGGTGACATACACACGTGGAACTGTCAGTCATGTGTGTTACGTGCAGATAACATACACACGTGTGTTAGGTGTAAGTAACATACATATGTGGAACTGTCGATCAGGGTCAGTGACACAGTGTTAGGGCTCCGAGTGTGCTAGACACACAGCTGGCTGACCAAAAATTAAATGAGTGTATGCGATGATCAAGATTTACGGTAAATCACAGGATTGTGTGTTGCGCAAGTGGATATGGCAGGAATTAGAAGGGTAAAGCTCAAGACATTTAACACAACACGTTGTGGTATCTGTCACAAGCCGTGTTATGAAACGTGGCTTCTTTATTTCCCTGGTGACTCTTTGATTGACCCGAGACACGCTGATGGCAACAAACACAAACACAGGGAGGGTCAACAGCTGTAGTAAGTGATAGTTTCCCTGATAATAACAGCTTGCTTTCGGACAGAGAGAGAAAGTGAAGTGGATCGTGGCAGAGGGTGACAAGCTGTGGAGATGTGGAAGGACAGGCACTCTGTGCTGTGACAGGCAGCCGGCAAACACTGACTGACAAGGTCGCTGATCAGATAGGATGGCGCGCCTGACAATGACACGCGACAAGTGCGAGACCGCAAATTACACAGGCTCGTACGAGACGGAAGGGGAGACGGGCAAGGAAGAAGGAAAACTGGCGAAATCTAAATTAACCGGGGGCATTTAAACAAGGCACAACAACAACAACAACAACTGACATTTGCATAGCGCCTTTCACGTCCGGAAGACACCCCAAGGCGCTGGACAGTCAAGGATTGGACCCGAGCTGCGGGTTGGGGAGGGTCGGAGGGCAGGAGGTGACCGAAGGCGCGGTTGAGGCGAAGGGTCTTGAGATGGACCTTGAAGAAGGAAAAGAAGGGAGCGAGCCGAAGGGACTGTAGGATGAAGTTCAAAGGGTGGGGGCAGAGAGCTGAAGGCCGGACCACTGATGGTGGAGCAGGTCAGAACCTGCTGAGTGGAGGGAGTGGGCGGGTTGGGTATGGAGCACCATAAACATGACCATATTATTATTATTTCTTTTTGAAGGGATTTTTACTCCAGGAAAAGCGATCCGCCAATTGACTAAGAACCGTGTTCCTACGTGCTGCTAGGTAACCAGAGACGTGTGGAGTAAGGAAACTTACATGAGGAATCAAACCCCCGGGTCCTCTCGCTTGTGAGACGAGCACTCTAACCAATACGCTACAGGATTCCACAGGATTAGGGAGATAACACGTACCTGTTGATGCCTTCTCTTGTGAAGTAGACGGAGTAGGTCTGGATTGCTCCGTGGGTCTCGACAGGTGGGCGCCAGCTCAGACGGACAAAGCGACTGGACACTAGGACAGGGACCACATCCCGAGGGGCCGAGGGGAGGACACTGGAGCTTGGTAAGGCTGAGGGTTCAGGAGGAGAGGAAGCGGTCAGTGAGGGAGAGGTCACCAGAGAGGGCAGGGGCGTGGAGCCTAGTGGGGGTGCAGTATAAAGGTTATTACCCAGCAAGAGGGGGGGGGAGTGGGAGAGAAAAGGGTGGATAGAGGGAACGAATGGATGAACAAAATGTGGAATAAATAGAGAAAAAGAGGAGAAAGAAAAACTGATAACTTGAAGAAATAGCGAAAATTTTACTTCCAGCTTGGCATTGTAATATACACCTCCCTCCCCACCGACCCCCTCCCCCCCCCCACCCCACCACCCTCTTAGGACCACCATAACTAATGAAAGGTATGTGGTTCACTGGGGGAGGAAGATACAATTACTGACTGAATGTGGGAAGCAATCCAGTGCAATGCTGGGGGAACACTACATTATCAGAGGTGCCGTCCTTTGGGTGGGACGTTAACTGAGATCCCGTATGTCTGTTCAGGTGGATGTTACAGATCCCATGACACTATCGGAAAAGAGAAGGGAGTTTACAGTAAAGTCTACTGACTACCATTTGACATAACGCCTTAACACATCATTGACGTCTCAAAGCGCTTTACAGAATATATTGTAAAGTGTATTTCATGGGTGAAACTCATAAGGGAATTGCACACAGTGTCCCACAAACAGTCACGGATTGAGTGACCAAATGTTTTCTTGGATGGATTATTACACCCGGAATGCCTTCCGCCAAACGATTACAACTGCTAGGCAAGCGGAGGTATGTGGAGTAAGGAAACTTGCCCAAGGTTTGCCTCCACCCGAAAATCGAACCCGGGTCCTCTGAATAGGGCACAGACGGACCTCAGTTTATCGTCTCATTTGTAGGAAGGCATCTCTGACAATTCAGGGTTCTCTTCCAGCACTGCACTGGAGTGTCAGCCTGGATTATGAGTCCTCAAGTGGGGCTTTAACATTCACCCGACTTGTAAATAGCCAGAATCTAAATGAATCGCTCAATCAGAAACAAAGCGGAAGATAGTCTGGAAATAAATAAGTAATGAAGCTTGTATTTAAAATAGAATGCAATGCACACAAGCACAGCTCTAGAGGATATTTGGTCCATTTGACTTCAGCGTTCCAGAACCCCAGTTAGTGTCTCCGAGAATATCAGTCAGTATTTGAGGCTCAGAGAATTATTTTATTGAACTTGTGGTCACCAACCTATTTGGCCAACCAAACACAATTTTCTTTATCGAATTTTTTTTTATCATTTATGACTGCGCCATGTTTATCACAGCTACTGGAAACAACAAGGTGTTGGTTTGAAACGGATTTACGTGGACTGGACCAGCTATTTGGCGAGCCACGACATCATATTTTGTGGGACACTGCTGTGCGCAATTGGCTGCCGCGTTCGCCCACAAATATGCAGTCAATTCACTTTACAGTATATTCTGTGAAGCGCTTTGCGATGTCTGGAAGACGTGAAAAGCGCTATATCAAATGCAAGGATTATTATTATTATTATTATTATATCTATTCTGCCCATTGTACATGGTTATGGAGTTCTAGACCACTGGGTCCCATATTCCCTCCATCTCTTGGGAATGGCTGAGGCAAACTCCGTGATCCAGGAGGTTTTACAAAGGGAAGGAACCAGATAAAGATTTGAAAAAGAAAAGTGCTGGAGAGGAATGTGTGGTATTTCTTATATTAATCTGTAAATGTGTTATTGTTATTTAATTAGCACCAGTCTTACTGTACGTTCAGCACAGCACAGCGCACACTAAACACACGGCACACACACAGCACATACACTAAACACATACTAAACACCCACAATCTAAACACACTCACTAAACATGTAATATACAATCAATACACTGCACACACCCAATACACCATACACATTAGATACACGTGAGATGCACACAACACAAACTACACACACATACAGGACACAGCTGTTCCCCGTTCCCCAGTGGGTCGGGCAGGCTTGGGTCTGGTTACTTCAGGTCTATGGGAATCACACTGCACGGAGCCCTAGACAGTGAAGCTGCCATTTGTTGTGTTTGATGGGACATGGTTTGTGTTTGTCTAACGCTCCGTGAGAAGGGAGAGAACACGGCAGATTGAATTCCATACATTTTTAATGAAATATAAAAGAGCCCATCAGTCACCACAAACACTTGTGACGCTCAAACACGATTCTCCAAAGCAGCTCGACTCCAACGCTGCAATATCGCCTGACATGATGTGAGCTTTGTATTGTTTACTGCTGGCTCCAAGCAGCAAACACAGTCAAACAGCTTCACTCAACCATTCATTTCAGCCCTGGAACCCTGTGCCCTGTGCATCTGTACAGTCTATATCCTGCAGGCGCTATACTGTACACTGTACGCTCTATCTCTTTACCCTGACCTCTCTCTCCCTTGAACACACTACACCTGTACGTCCTGTGCTCTGTACATTACACTTACAGTTATTATCTACTCTATATAATCTGAACCCTGTACAGGTACTACTAACAACAACAAATTCCATTCAAACAGCGCCTTTCAAGTTAGGAAGATGTCACAAGGCCCTGGACCGTCAAGGATTTGCACTGAAGCCCGGGATTGGGATCAGGAGGGGTGGTGGACAAAGAAGGTGGGGGAGGGGGGAAAGGTGACCGAAGGCATGGTCGAAGAAGAGGGTCTTGAGATGGGTGTTGAAGGAGGCAAGGGAGGAAGCGAGGTGAAGGGATTGTGGGATGGAGTTCCAAAGATCGGGGACAGAGCGGCTGAAGGCCCGACTACCGATGGCGGAGGACATGGAGAAGGCCGGAGCTGAGCGGAGTTAGCAGATGGGTTGGTGTGGAACACCGGTGCGTCTTCAGTGAAACAGAAGGATTAACATAACACGGGTCCAGTATGGGGTTACTGTGAACACTCTGCCCCTTGTAACCCCCTTTATTGTATGTCCCTCTACACTCTGTACCACACACACTCTGTAGAACACAATACAATTTACATTTATATAGCGCCTCTGACGGGAAGGACGTCTCAAAACTCTTCACAGGGGTGGATTGATAACCAGGCTGGGGGTTGTAATCGAGGGGTTGTGGCGAGGAAAGGTAACCTATACACTGCTCTGTACATAGCAAAATTGCAAATCTGAGCTGTGGTGTACTATACACCCTTGGCTTCATCCACTGTCGGTTTGGCTCAGTAGGTGGCAGGCTTGTCTCTGGGTCAAGTGATAGTGGGTTCAATGCTGACCTCAGCTCTTGTCGTCAGCTGATACTTCCTCCCATCCCGTGTAAGTTGTATAAAGTGCTCTTTGTGTTAGTAACAATAATTCTTGTGTTTCACATAATCGTATCACACCGTTGAGACGTCTCAAAGCGCTTCGCAGAATACACTGTAAAATAAATTGACTGTCTATTTTGTGGACGAAACACAGCAGCCAATGGCGTACAGCAGTTTCCCAGAAACATCGAGTGGACAGATTATTTTTTTTTGCTTTGTGTTCTGATAAACTGCACTTTATGCCTGCTCTTACCAACTTACTGATCAGCAGGAATAATATTTCACTACTTATCCTCTCAAACCTTTCACAATTGTCTCAACCTTTATTAAATTTATTAAATTGGCTCTTAACCTTTCTGTTTCATTGAAGACACCTCTGATATACTTCTGCGTCCCCTCTCCATGGCTATTTTCTATAATAATAATAATCGTGCTTGCATTTTTAATACAGCAACCTTATCACATTGTTAAAATATCTCAAAGCGCTTCTCTGGATTTCCTGAGAAATGTAGTGCCTGTGTATTTGTAGGCCTAGAATAGTGTTGAATAACCATTTAAGGTCTAACCAATGATGACTTAATACGGGTGTCAGATTTTTGGCTCAGTGGGTAGCTTGCGAACCTCTAGATTAGAAAGTCTATGTGTTGAAGACACACACATCAGGACTTTAGCTCACAGCGTAGACCAGCAGAGACACACACATCCCAACATGGAATGCCAGAACCAAGCCCACCAAGTGAGCTTGGTAGTCTAGTTGCTGAGCCAGGCAGGTCCTCAGTACTCTAGGGCACTGCTGATGACTGACTAGTTAGCCTGGTCACAAGCAGGACTTGGAAGGACAGACCAGTCACTGGGGGCACTTAGTGCCTGTTAACCCTGTAAGCCAAAGCTCTAACGTTGAGGGTGATATTAGCTGGACAAGCAAAGGGAAGCTTACCAGGCAGTGCACTCAACGGTAAGTTATGTGGTTTTAGCTGGTTAGATTCCAGCAGTTATCCCAATGCACCCTTTGGGGACCCAAGTCTTGAACTCTAATTAAAGTCTGAAATGTTGTACACTGTCCAGCGCCTCGGGACGTTCTCCCGATATGAAAGGCGCTATACAAATGTAATCTTGTTGTTGTTGTTGATAAGGTAAGCAGGTTGCTTCTGTCTGGGGGAGGAAGGAATGGTACACTTATTCCATTGCAGGCACATGGAAATTTCCATACATATGTCCAACTCCCAGTAACGCAGTTTGGTTTGGGAGACTCTTAAAAGCAGTAAGATGTGTCATATACCCACCCGATTGATCAGAGAAACACACAGACAGACACACACATACACCAACATACACGTACATAAATACACAGATAAACACGCACAAACACACACCACATCCCTCACAGTGTGGACAGAAGCAATTAATGAAATTGCCCGCTGCAGCAGAGATAGAGCTTGCTGGACTGAGAGCTGATTGAATTGTATCTCACTGCTAGTCCGCATCCTGTGCAGTTTGTCTCAGAGGCAGTCTTATTGATTGCACCCGGCCAGGAGGAGCCTGGCACTGCATACCAATGTGAGCGCCATGCCACTCAGGGGACACCATGTTCTAACCAAACTAAACACAGACAGATGTTGGGGAGAGATTACATTTCACGACGGGGTGTGGCAACATGAATATAATCGTATGGGCGCATAAACCTACAGTAAAGAGTACACTGTAAATATCCAGCTCTGTGCCTTATTTTTCTTCGGTAA